GAGAGAGAGAGAGAGAGGGAAAAACATAGGAAGAAACCGAAAAAAGAAAAGAAACAAAACGAAAAGCAAGAACGAAGAGCAAGGTCGAGTGTCCGAAATGCTACGGTAGTAGCAGGAGCGAACGAAAGACGCCGGGTCGACCAAGGCCCCTCAAAAGAGAAGGGGACATTTCGCGGCCAGGCAGGCTGAGGCAGCGTCGTCACATTTATAATACCCTGACTACGACGCTTCCCAGTTCATGCAGGAATCTGTCAATCAAGCCACGTGAGGCACATGTGAGTGATACTCAGCACAGGGATTGCAACAAATCTCCCTCCCTGCTATGCCATATCGACACGTCACCCCTCTCACGTTATTATTATCTTTTTATTTTTATTTTTTTCAGCCGAAGCCGGGTAATGGCCCCGGTATGCTTCTTTTTTCTTTCGCTTTTTATGTTTAAATCATTATCACTTGATTAACTCGCAAAAAAAGTCGGTCGTTCGACGATCAGTCGTTCTCCGACTAGTATTGCTATCAAATCGCTTTAGTGAATCCAACGTCAGTCCGACAGTCGTTCACCACAATCAATCAAGCAATCAAACGGGGCGGCACTCCCAATCAGATCAACAAAGGGAGGAGCACAATACCCCAGTCATCACAACAACACCAGTCATGGACAACCCACCTCCATCAAAAGGTCAATCAGTCAATCATCCAACTGATGATAGCGTATCGCGTGCGGTTCATAGCAATAGTCTACCAGCAAAACAAATGCTCAAGGTAGACAGGGCGACGGGGGCGGGGGGGAGCAGACTCTACCTTTCGGAGACATGTGGGTCTCACACACCCGTTCTGTTTCTTTCCTTTTTTCTCTTTTCTTGCAATGCAACAGCTCTGATCTATTCGCTCGCGAGGAGAGGCACGTGTGCTGGAACCGGGACCAGCGACCGGGACCAGCGACCGGGGCCAGCGACACTTACGAAACATCATTTACTCAGATACATTTAACACACCCTGTCACACCCTAACAAAAAAAAAAAAAAAAAAAAAAAAAAACACCGGGACCATTACCCGGCTTCGGCTAAGGCCCTAAGGGTCACCGATTTATACACAAATACCCCCCCATAAGCTAGCTACCTATTTTCCGGTTCCAGCCCGGGCCGCCAGGCCCAGATATCACTTGGGAATCTAGTGACACCCATTCTGACGTATTGAAAGAATTGTTTTTTTATTTTATTTTTTTTTAAGCAACAACCCGAGACAACCTACTAAGCAATCAACGAAAAATCAATGGCTTGCAGATGCCGTAAGAAAATACACTGTACTGACCTGAATGCCATCAAATCTCCAAACCCTTCGGGTCTTCTCTTCGGCGTTGGTGGCGCAGATACTGGGGCGGGAGCTGGGGACGATGAAGATGAAGTGGTGTTCGAAGAAACGTCCACAGACGTCGATGGCTTGCTCGTGTCGTCTCCCTGTGTATGTCATTCGATTGCCCGGGTCCACGGAACGAAAAACAACAATGAGCCACGTCAGCACAGGTCCCGACCTTCCACACTAGATGAACTGCATGCAGGATGATTCACCCACGACATACATACCTTCTTTTTTTTATGGAACAAAAAAAAAAGAAAAAGAAAAAAAAACTCACCTTTGACGAAGTCGCGATCTCGAGGAGGGTTATACATATACGGGCATCCCTAAACCTACACTCTTGTCGACGTTGCCATTATTGAATCGATCTGATTTATATATTTGTTAAGGGGCAACAGGCTAACAGCAACTGCTGGAAAAAGGGTCGAGCGTGCCGCACATGCAACATCCTCTTTTACTTCGGTACCAAAGCCAATCGTTGTCCCACCCACCACCCACCACCCACACCACCCACCACCCACCACCCACCACCCACCGTGCAGTGTTCAGTGTCTTCCAAACTTTGCTCTGAGCAGTGAATCGCTGTAATCTCTACCTTCTTCAGCCAAACATCTAGCATAATACAGTAATATGGCCTATCGTCGTGACCGTATGCAAAGCCTGTTCCCAAATACTGTCACAATGCTGGGGCACTGTGGGCTAGAAGGTACAATAAGCTCAGTTCTAGAAGTTCTTGTCTTCTAGAACACGCCAGATAAATAGTTTTTGTTTTTTTTTTTAAGCGTGTCCAGGAAAACATTCTATCGACGTAGCAAGCGGACAACCACTACCCATACAACTCGATCATGCATGGAGCTGGAATCCTAGCCAAATACAGGTACCAAATAAGCAACACGCTGTGTCTGGTTTATCACACACAGCAAACGAGCAAAGCTAGCGCATGTAGCCAAAAGGTGTCCAATCACGAAATGCCAACTATCAAACAATTAATTACTCGGAGCTTTCGAAGAATCCGATCCAGATCCTGACCAGATCCTAAGGAGCTATAAAATATCCACACACACACACACACATACACACACACACACACACACACACACACACACACACACACACACACACACATGTACACAGCAACACACACACACACACACACACACACACACACACACACACACACACACACACACATATACACGCACATGGATACTCTTAATGTTCAGAATTGTGGCTGACAGTTCTTGAAAATTGAGGGTTTTGGGGTTGCTTTTCACGAGCACGGCCGGCAAAAGAACACACAAGCTCGGGCAACACGAAGAAGACCGCAGTCCCTAGCTGCGAGGTACCCACTTCTGCCCGCGAGNCACATATACACACATACACACACATATACACACATACACACAATCTTAATGTTTAGAATTCGGAGACGAAAGTGGCTGAAATGGCTTGCTTTGGAGTTGGATTTCACGAGCACGGCCGGCAAAAGAACACACAAGCTCGGGCAACACGAAGAAGACCGCAGTCCCTAGCTGCGAGGTACCCACTTCTGCCCGCGAGAAGAAATGAAGAGAGGCCAATCAGAAACGGAGTGACGACAGAGGGAAGGAAACAGTAGGTAGGAAAGAGAGTGACCGCTGGTAGAGGACCTGCAAGGAGTGAGAGGACCAGAACAAGTTCTCGGACAAAAACCAAAAAGAGAGGGAACGGGTGATGGAAAACGAACTTCAAGGTGAAACTAGAGTTAGGCGGGTTAAGGGTTAGCAGGCAGGCGAATCAACCACACGCTGTCATGCAGGGCACAGCAATAGTGAGCGGACGAGCTTACCTCAGCCCTGCAGATAGTGAGCGGACGTGATCGAGTCGCCATCTTCTGATCGGCAATTCGAAGTGCAGGCATCCTGCCAAGACCGGAGGGGAAGGCACAAGGAGACGTCTTCCCGTACACATGAGCAGAGGAAGAAGACGACGTCGTTCCTGCCGCCATAGCCGCAGCCATGGTGATAGCTTGGGCCTTGACAATCGCACTGCCGATGCAGCTGGCCATTTTTGCAGCGACCACAGATGCTACTGTAGGTAGAAGCAAATGCAAATGTTCCTCTCTCCACACACACTGCTCACACCCTCCTGCACCTGAGAATCTGAAATGCAAGATCGACTCCTTCTCCTACTTCGCCTTGAAGTTCTCCTTCTCCTTCTCCTTCTCCCACCCCAACTACCGCGTGTGCAGCTGTCTCCAACTCGATCCCAGCTGTTGCAGCTAGTCGCTGAGTCACTGAGCTGCTCTGCTCCTCTCGTCGGCTACGACAGAGATCGGATAAGCACGCAAGGAGTCGTGAGTAACGAATGATCGATCAGATCACAAGGTCCGAAAAGTCGACAAGGAGAGAGAGAGAGACAGACTTCGACGACGACGACAAGAAAAGTCGGCAATCGAGATGGAAAAAAGGGAGGACGACTCGCTTCACTGACGCTTGCACTGAAACTGACGAAACAACATATATAGAGACAGCAGTATGATTCGCGCCTCGATCGTGGTCCGCTACAACCGTCCGTCGAACGATTGCTACGTAGTAGCCGTCGATCTGCGAAATCTACGGGCAGAAATGGAACACCCCTGTCGTGTGCATGCACGCCCCTAATTGCATCATTCAGCAGACAGAGAGGGTGGCAGTCCTCCAGCCGTTCTGTTCTTGCTCGGAGATCGGGTGAACAGGGTGCTTCGATCCGCTAAGGTAGCAGCAGCGCACGATGTCAACGATGTAAATCGTGCCTGCGTGGCGATCGCAAGGCCACAGCTACGCTGCTACTGAAAAAGGACGCCCTTACCGCCGTAGGTAGGGCTACTTTTTAGGTCCGCCTTGCATGCACGCAGATATGCCGCCCGTCGATCGCTTCGTGTTTTTTCCTTTTTTTTTTCAGTTTGTATTGAAATAATAATAATAATAATAATAATAATAATAATTTTGTTTGAGGTGGCTGTCCATCAGCCGCCAAGTCGCAGTACGTAGCTGGCTGGTGCCCGCTCGAGTAGTTTCCTTCTTCGAACATTCTTGGAAGTGGCCAGAGTGACCAATGCCACGAATTTTTCAGATTTGGACGGCCCTTTTTTTTTTTTTTTTTTTTTTCAGACTTGGACGGCCCTGAGCTACCAATTCTCGAAAAGTTCTGGACCTGGTCCAGCGGAACTTGGCCCCAACGGGGAACGGGCGGGTCTTTTCCCTGGTGGCTGGCCGTCGATCTTCGTTATTATCTATGGACAGCACAGCATGTATCCTTGCGATGGGTAGCCGGCAATGTGCGGCCACGGATTGCTGGGACCAACGAAGGAAAGTCCCGCTTGTCACGACTACCTTTTTTTTTATATATATATAATTTAAATCCGTTGGCTGGGAAACCCTCAACATCTCAACGCGGAGGGTCTGGGGCCGTTACCCAGCTTAGGGCCTAATGATCCGACTGGCAAAGAGGATTGGACGTGATAGTGGAAAGGTGCAAACAATTGTGATTGATCTGCGATTCTGCATATCTGCGTGAAATACGTCCAGGTTCCGCCACTCATTCCAACCCTCTTTTTTTTCTTTTTTTTTTTCAACAAGACTGTATTTATTATTAAAGTCTTTAACCAGAGGCCGGGGACCTCACAATTCTACCCGGATTGCTGGAAAACAAGTCCAGCGTCCTATTCGGGTAACCAATCTGGAAAACATGCCCAAGTCCGCACAAAGAAAAAAGCAGACTACCAGCTGGAAACGAGGTCCAGCGTCCTTTCCTAGGGACCAGTTCTGTAGTCTATTGGGCAAGCCCTGGCAGAATCTGCGCGTGCCAGAGAGTAGTGTCTATRCACAGAACAAATAGTACCCCTCTTGACAGTCTATTGACTATCCCTGATCGAACTTTTAACCAAGGGTTTTGGTTTCTGGCTGTTGCTGATTCTAAAAAGGCTAACTTTCAACTAACAGAATGTTCATCCCATAGAAGTCTAGAAAAATATGTTTGGCCTGAAGCCAGTGATCCTGCCCATCTAAAGGGCTGTTCCCACAATTTGGGACTCGTCTCCTTCCTGAGTTCTGCTAGTATTAACAGGCGGACCGAATACCGAAATTGGTTCCTGATAGCAGCCTGAGAGGTAGGTTTGGAGCAAAACCTTCTGTCCCTACGTGCTAGCCACAGAATCCAGAAAGCTATCGCACGGAATTTGTAGGCCACAGCCCTACCCTTTGTTATTGTAGTAACTCYAGATATCACAAAGTCTTGGGTCCATACATTAGAATCCCYGTAGGCTCTCAGYCATGTATCTTGTAACCATTCCCAGAAACCTCTGGCCACCACCCATTCCCACCATAGGTGTGCAGAGGACTCCACCCTCGGATAGGGGCAATGATCACAGAAGATACTCACCATCATGCCCTTTTCTGAACACCATTCTGCAATGGGCACGCAGGAGTGCATATGCATCCACTGCAGCCCTCCCATTTTGACCTCTGTGATTCCTGCGATCATCTGACAGTAGAACGGTAACCACTTGTCCACAAATGTTTAAAAAGGCATAGTATTGAAACGTTTATTCCACGATAAACATGATTGTGCTTTCATAGAGGAAGCTTTCGAATGTAACTTGTACCCCAGTTTAGGTCCGTAGTCACTGATTGAGATTTTGGTGGGTGCTGACTCCCCAGAATCCACTGCCCATCCCACCTCATTTGAGTCTGGTCTGTTGTCCTCCAACTGTGTTGCCTGATCGAGAACTTGGACCACCGGAGTCCCTTCTTGAGTAAGGAAGGAGATTACATTGATAGGCTTGCCCATATTGCTTCTAGAGATAAGGGTGCTATCCCTTTTGACAAAATCAGGTGGCAGTTCCCTGATCCAGACCTCCGCTTCCAGATCATTCCCGGCCCTTGAGTCCGTGATATGCAGTATCTGTTCTGCAGATTGGGGATCCGACCACCAGGTGTCCTCTAGCCAATCCTCACTTTCAGTTTTCAGTAGTTCAAACCATGCTGGGGGAACATCCAAGATCAAGGTCTTCAAATGCGTATGTATCCCTCGAAGGCCTCTGAGTTTGTGCTTGAGGGCGTCTGCAGTCTTCCACTCTTTCCGGTTCCGGTCCCAAATGTGTTCCACCTTCCATATGCCTCTCTGGAGCCATTTGCGTCCGAAGTTACCTTTCCTTGAGGAAACGCTGAATACTGCTCCTAGCTCCCCTCGGATTGCAGGGTTCTCAAAAAGGGGCATTGAGAGAATCCTTTCTGCTGAGGCACATTCCTTAATCGTGGTCGGTTGCATTTTGGACCATGCTTTGAGTATTGGGCCCCAGGTAGGAGAGTTAATGTTCTTAGCCAGTGAAGGGAAAAACAAACAATCCCATACTGCTGAGTTGTCGGATAACGACCATTCGGAAGTAAGGATGGAGATGGCTAGCTGAATCCAAGGAGTATCTTTTGGAAGAGTTAGTAATCTGGTAACCCATTTCGTTAGTAGTGCTCTGTTATGGATCTCGGGGTCAATAATCCCAAGTCCCCCATCGTTCTTTTTCTCAATAATTTTCCACGAAGCCATTTTGGATATGCATGAGGACACTTCTGAGTCCCCTTTCCAAATGAATCTGGATAGGAGTTGGCGAATCAGTTGAGCTGAGGACTGAGATAGCTCTCTAAACGAAAGGATGTACCAGATAGTAGATAGGATCGAGACGTTAGCCACCATTGCACGACCCAACAGTGATAAGAATTTTTTTTTAGACCAATGTGCACATGAGTTATTCCAACCCTCTTTGCCACTGGCATCTGGCCCTTAGGCTTGTGCCGGAAACCAGCGGGTCCACCGCTCGACCACCTTTCTTCCTTTCGCCGCTTCCTGTTCGAATGAGGGTGCCACCTTCTCCCTTCTGCCCCCGAGTACAACGCACGGTCACTATAGTTGTATTTGAGGCATCTTTCAGTCTAGATACAGCAACTATAATGACCGTACCTTGTACTTTGTATTAGGGGGAAGAAGGTAGTGGCGCTGCTGGTGCACGCTGCTTCTGCCATAGCGTCTGCCATGTGACCGCTTGTCAATGGATCGTTGCAGAATATCTGACGGTCGAGATGTCAGGCGGGAAAAGCGGTCACACTGCAGTGGAGATATCAGGAGCAAGGTCCCACTTTCCCGGGGCTAGGTCCCACTTACACGAATTAAGCGATATTGACCATAGATAACAAAGATCGAAGGGCAGAATCTCGTAGTTCGTGCAAGTGGACCTTGCCCCCGGATTTTGTGTTCCTCACCGTCGATCCTTGTAATCTTTTTTTTTTTTTTTTTTTTTTTTTTTCGGTCCTAGGCTTGTGGGACCCCGCCCCAGGGCCGAGGTCCCACAAGCAAAAAGGATAGGATCAAGTTCCTGAATCTGGATGTGTTTTAAGCACAGATGCAGAAAAACAGTTCAATCTCGATTCCCTGCACATCTCCATAAACTCGTCCAGATTCAGGCATTCGATCCGACCCTCTTTGCTAGTGGGACCACGCCCTAGGCGTCGGAGTTATGATCATCCCAAAAAGCATTTAGGGCCGAGTTTCACTTACTCGAAATCTCAAATCCCTGACCGTCGATTGGGAAGATCAACGGCCAGAGATGAAGAATCAGCGTCAGTGGGACTTGGCCCTTAGAAGCACTCCACTTTCATGACGGATCCGGGGGCTAGGTCCCACTTGCACGAATTAAGAGTTCGAGACCGTAGATAGCCGAGATTAACGGCCAAGATCTCCTAATCCGTGCAAGTGGGACCTTGCCCCGGGGGAAGGTCCCTTTTGCAGGGATTACGAGATTTTGGCATTTTGGCAGTTCATTTTCACTATCTACTGCCCCTACAGCTCTTAATCCGTGCAAGTGGGACCTATAGCTCCTGGAGGAGGGGTCCCGGTTTCTTAGCTGTCCTTCATTTCTGGCCGTTGTTCTTCGGAATCTAGGGTTCGATCTTTTCTAATCTTCCTTTCTAATCTATGGTAGGATGAAGAATCAGGATGAGTGTGACGTCCTCCCCTCAAGGAACCCCTGGCGCACTGTTGCTCATCGTGTCATCGCCGTAGTGGATACCCCCAAAAGGGACCAACGAACAAAGGTAAGACCACAATGCTTTTTACCGAAAAAAAAAAAAAAAAAAAGGAGAGCTGCAATGCGGAAGGATGACACGCATAAATCGAGAAATGGTCCAACTTAATAATAAACCCCTACTGTAACAGTACCTCCGACTGTGTGTACACTGTGCGCCTGTGGCTGAGTGGTAGACACAAGGCAACTGGTAACGAGTCCGAGTCCTAAGGCCGATCTGTCAGTGCGATACAACCATGCAGGCTACCCCTATATAAAAGTGACCCCTCTATAAAAATGAAAATGAAAAATAAACTCCGGACCCTCCGGCGGCGACGCGTGGTCAAAACTGATTCACCCAAACGGCCCTCAGCTCATTCATTACTCCCAGCCGCGGTCTTCGATTTGTGAAAGGGACAAAAATTGTGGCGGGCGCATCTGGCCATTTTCCCG